TCGTGTCCACATTGATTGCCCCTGAGGGAGACCCAGATGCACCAGACATCCCGACTCCTCGATCGTACGCTGAGGCGATCGAGGGTCCCTACTCCTCATAGTGGCAGTCAGCCATGGACGCAGAGATGGCTTCCTGGAAGTCAACAGGCACCTACGTCGACGAGGTTCCCCCACCTGGGTTGAACATCGTCAGTGGCATATGGATTTTCAGGGTGAAGCGGCCGCCGGGTTCTCCGCTTGTCTTCCAAGGCGCGTTACGTGGCTCGAGGCTTCAGTCAGCGGCAAGGAGTTGACTACTTTGAGACCTTCTCTCCCACCTCGAAGATGACCACTCTTTGGGTGCGGCTGCACATAGCCGCTCAGCGCGACTATGAGCTTCACTCTCTTGATTTCAGCACAGCTTTCCTGCAGGGCAGTCTACACGAGGAGATCTGGCTGCGCCGCCCTCCTGGCTTCACTGGGTCGTTTCCTCCTGGTACCCAGTGGAGCCTCCGGCGGCCAGTCTACGGTCTCCGCCTGGCGCCCCGTGAGTGGCACGACATACTGAGAACTACACTTGCGGCTCTTGGATTTGCTCCTTCTACAGCCGACCCGTCGCTGTTTCTGCGCACGGACACCTCTTTGCCGCCGTTCTACATCCTCGTGTACGTCAAGAACTTGGTCTTTGCCACTACTGACACTGTTGGACTCGCCCACGTAAAGTCGGAGCTGCAGAAGAGACACACGTGCACAGACCTGGGTGAATTGCGCAGCTATCTTGGCTTGCAGATCACCTGGGACAGGGCACAGCGCACCATTACCCTGACTCAGTCACACATGGTGCAGCAGGTCCTTCAGCGCTTCGGCTTCACGTACTCCTCGCCTCAGGCCACTCCTCTGTCTACTCGCCACTCGCTCTCAGCTCTGCCTTCGGATGAGTCCGTAGAGCCGAGTGGCTCGTACCCAGAGCTTGTTGGCTGCCTCATGTACCTGATGACCTGCACACGACCTGACCTTGCATACCCTCTTAGCATCTTGGCACGCTATGTTTCTCCTCGGAGACACCAACCAGAGCACATGGCTGCAGCGAAGAGGGTGTTGCGCTACGTGTGCAGTACGTCGGGCATGGAGCTAGTGCTAGGAGGGCGACGTCGAGTGGTCCTCACAGGTCACGCAGACGCTTCTTTGGCTGATGACCAGGTTCTGCAGCGATCGTCACAGGGTTACACCTTCAGCCTTGGCTCCGGCTCTGTTTCGTGGCGGTCTACACGCTCGTCTTCTGTTCTCAGCTCCAACTGTGAGGCTGAGATCTACGTAGGGGCCATGGCTGCACAGGAGCTACACTGGCTCACCTACCTGCTGACTGACCTAGGAGAGCCGCATCGTTCTCCTCCAATTCTGTACGTAGACAACAAGGCCATGCTGGCCTTGTGTCGGGAGCACAGACTGGAGCACAGAACGAAGCACATTGTTGTCCGCTACTTCCTTGCTCGTGATCTGCAGCAGCGTGGTCAGCTTCGCCTCACCTACGTGGCCTCTGAGGCCAAGATTGCTTATATCTTCACCAAGGCCGTTCCGCCTTGTGATCATCAGCGCTTCTGTACTATGTTAGGTCTTGTGCCTACTTGGCCTCACTTGCTCACTTCTTGATCTTGTTTGTACTGTACTCTTTATATACCTGCACTTGCTTGTTTACCTCTATATATATGATCTTGCATGTGAACTGGCCTTGTGGCTTTGCTCTTGTGCTCGGACTGTGTGGTGACTTTGTGATCCACCCTGAGCTTGCTTTGCTTTGCTTGACTGGTCTTGTGACCTCTTGTTCTCCCCCACTTTGACTATGGGGGTGTGTCAAAACATTATAGCTTATACATTTGTGTAGGCTGTAGTGGGGTAGACCACAAGGGGTACAACCCAATTAGGGTTAGTACTTGTACCCAACTGTTTCATAGTTCAATCATTCTCTCGTTCTTATCTTCACACTGGTTAGCTTGGAATGTGCAGGGAAACAGTGAGTTGAATCCGAGTAGCTGAAGATAGAATGTCCGCGCAGTAGACATTAAAAATGTATCCTCTGCTTCTTAAAGCCCGCGTCCCAAATTGCGGGCCGGGAGGGTCAAGTTTTTAAAACTTGACGAAGTTGATTGTCCAAGCTTTTGAAAGTCACGCACTTGCAATTTTGGACTTTCGAAGACAGATTCACTCACCAGGGGGAAAACCGAGGGTTGGCTGGGTCTCGGAATCGGAAACTCTCGCCAAAGCCCACACCAGAAAAACTCCCTCTGGTTAACTTTTAAAGCCCAGCCCCCGAATTACAAAGAAGCCTTCACAAACTGGGGCCAGTTTGTGAAGCACTCCTGCTGGTTTCGGGATAGCAGGGTTTAGGGGAGGTTTCCGAACCTATTTTAGCTGCTTTTCCAAACCTATTTTCCAGCTTTGATTTCCGTTGAGCAATTCGGGTTCTGCCCTTTAAAAGCATGAACAATTTGGGCCGCCGGTTTTAACGAACTCAGGATTCCAGATCTGGGCTCAATGTTACCGGCTGATAAGTAACCTTCACGTGACAGGCTGTCGAAAGTCCGCGGAATTATCCATGGCGGTCTAGTCTTTGTCATTGAATGACGAAAAAGTGATTGAGAAGCCCTCCTATACTCGAGCACAACCTTGGCAGGCGAAACCCTCGGAAACCAAGGTTTGGGGAAAGGCGAAATCGAAAAAGTTCGGAAGCGACACGTGTCAGCTTCGGTCTCATCAAAACGCCCGAGCCTGATCCCCGTCATGTTCGGCATCCGCTATAATTCCGAACGAGTAGATCTCCGAACCGAAGTCCCGGCCTTCCACTTCAATTCGGCTCCCCAGGACGCGTGGCGTGTTGACAAATTTCCCGGTCGAGCCTGGCGTGCCAGACTTACGCCGTTTGCTTCGGCGCGGAAAAGCTGGGGTAGCCGTGCCAAACTTGACGTCCCCTCTAGGGACCGTTGCGTTGAGGTTTGGCACGTATTTTGCGAACTCGGAACGGAACCCCGCAGTGTTCGAAGCTTCGCTCAATGCCGTAGCGACATGAACGAAGTCGGAAACTTTATAAATCATGCTTCCAGCTGGCAGATCCAAATCCAAAGCAAACCGTCAAGTGGTCTCTGCTCTCAATCTTTAGGAGCCGCTGCTCAAGCGGAAAGCCAAGCATAATTCATCAACCCACACTCGTGGTGTCCACGTTCGAGGTTTTAGAAGTAGGCTCTGCTGTGTGTCGTCGGTCTATTTCGAGGCGCCTGAAACTTAAACGATATGCTTCACTGTCGGTCCTACCAGGTTTAGTCGCCGTGATGGGTGCTTTGAGGTATCGGCTTGGCGCGCTTACGCTCCTCCTGCCGGTGTGTTTCGCCGCAATCCGCAGTGTGACTATTGCACCCCTCCCAAGATCCGTGTAGTGCTTTCATTTCGCCATACCACGCCGCCATTTCGCCATGTCACACCGTCATTCCGCCGCGGCGCGCTGCGATGTCGTCATGCCACGCCGCCAATTGACATGTCACGCTGCCATTTCGTCATGTCACATCGTCATTTCGCCGCGTCCCGCTACCCTGTCGCCATGTCAAGCCTCCATTTCACTATGTCACGCCGCCACTTCGCCATGTCAGTTCGCCTCGTCGCTTCCCTACGTCGCACCGCCATTTCGCCTCGTCGTGCCGCCATTCATTGTCTAGAGATTGGCGAATGGCAGCTATCCTCCACCCCTCATAGCAACGCTGGCCGTTGTCGCGCCGAGCGTAAACCATCCTTTCCCTTCAGCTCTTCTCGTTCCACCCGCCGCCATTCCACTAGCTTGCATCTGGAGTCCGCTGTGTGCTGGCGTGTGGCCATGCCATGGCCTGGTGGTCCGGCGTTATGGTCTTTTCTGCTCTGCTCGGATCTGGTCTCGTCTGGTCCACTCTAGTCGTGTCCGCTCTGCTCTGATGTTTGCTTGCTGGGCGCAGGTGGGAGGAGTGATTCGGAGGTGATTTGGCAGCAGCGTGGAAGTTGTAACGAGGCAATCGCCAGGCCGGGAAAGTAAGGAACATCTTGCATTGCTGCTCTATTGCTCAGGAGACTCAGAACCCTCCCCCTCTGCCTTTTGTCCCTCCTAGTGACCGTGCTGCAGGCGTGCCAGCAGGCGTGGGGGAGGGCGCTCAAGGGGTGGCAGGTGGGAGCGATGTGTGCGCCATTTGGGCCGGCTCCACTCCGCATGCTCAGTCAGAAGATTGAGCGCCGTATCGAGCGCTGTGACGACCGGCGGATCTGAACTGATGCCGCCCGTTCCAGTGCCCCGCGAAACGCGTTTCGCTGCAAAGGACGATGCTGCCACGCCACGCACAGCTCCGAGAATTTGCCGATAAATATTTGCCGCGCGAGATGACCCGGAATGCAAGCGAATCCATTGTCGATCGATTTGTTGGGAAGTGCTGACAAGCCATTGCCTGGGGGAGCGACTCTCTTTGAAATGGAGCTGTCACAGAGGTCAGCTCTAAATTGCTGCAGCGGAGAAGGGCGTTCAGGTGAATGTGCATGGGGGTTGATGGTGGGTGTAAAGGGGTGGTGTTGAGCAGCAGTGGTGGTGAGTGAGGTGTGCTAGCCTTCATGTGAGTCATTGTTTGAAACTCCCGTCGAAGGCGTTCATGTGAGGGACCGTTGAAGGGCAGACTCGCGCTTCCTTACCAGCTGTCCACCCCCCCATTCTCACCATTATTTCTTCGTGTCTCAGGTTCCTAACTCCCCTCCCTTCCAACCCAGTTAAGCAAACAGTCACGTCAACTCGCACATGCCATGACTCATCTCCCCATTGCGACCTTCAACACTTCTTAGTTGCTCCCCACTCACTCGTTCTTACCTTTTTTCTCTCCCCCCCCACTCTTCCTTCTTTCTCCCCTCCTCCCGCCCCCGTTGTATCGCCTCGCACGTGCATCAATCCATTCAGGCCGGGCCATCTGATCTGAGGATGCTAAGTTGCAGGGCTGCTGGGAAGCAGGGAGGCTGATTCAACTGGGATGCTTCGGCAGACTATTCCGCATCGTGTGTCCAACGTAATCAAGTTCACTCACACAGTAGTGACCCACCAGCTGCTGCACTGCACCCCACCTGCTCTCTTGCTCCTCCACTACCCCCTCCATTCTCCAACCGGCCCTCCAGCACGCCAGGGCTTTCAGGTGCGTCTCACCTGCGCCCTCCCCCAGGTTTCAGCTGGATGGGGAGAGATTTGGGGAGAAATGGGTGTGGGAAGGGCAGGGGGTGGTGGTGGCTCGGGGTTACAGTAAGGAGAGCTATGGACGTGCACTGTATGGGGTGTGACGCATATGATACATATGATACATGAGATACATGAGCATGGGTCTGGCCGTGGGCCGGGCTGCGGCGAGATTTTGTAACTGCCGGCCCGCGTTGGGCTGGCCCGGCCAGACGTTGGCCGAGTTGCGGTCGGGGGTTCTGGCCTGTTGCGACTCGCGGCCCATGTCCAACGAGGGGTGTGGGTGCTAGCAACAAGGGGCCGGGCCAGGTAGCGACCCATGCCAGGCTGAGATTTTGAACCGTCGGCCCGCGTTGGGCTAGCCCGGCCCAGCACTCCGGGCCAGACGTGGCCCGGTTTGTGGTTCGAGGTTTCTGTGGTCCGGCCGGGCTGGTCCAGGCCAGATTCCAGTTCGAATCGGGCAGGTCAGTGTCAGTGACTCACTGATGCTTGCGAGCCGAGCTGCGCGCTACACGTGCCACGTCTTGTGGGCACAGTAAGGGGGGAGTGGGGGGTTGTGGTTGCTAACAGGCGGGAGTGTGAGCGCGAGCAATGTTGGGGTGTCGGTGCGAGCAGAGGGGGTGTGTGGGAGGGAGCAGGAATGGAGGGTGTTGGGGCGAGCAGGGAGGGGTGTGGGCTTTGGCAAGGGGGAGTGTGGGCGCAAGCAGGAAGAGGGGATGTAGGCGCGAGCAAAAAGGGGGGTTGTTGTGCAGCAGAGGCAGCAAGAGACATGAATCACCTGCATTCCTATGCATGATGAACTGGGTGGGGGGATCGGTAGAAGGCTGAATGCTATGTGCGCATGGGCATGTTAAACGGGGTAGGGGCGATTCGTGCATGTGTATGAATTGTGCATGAATTGTGCATGGATTGTGCATGCTGTGTGCATGGTGTGTGCATGCATGGTGTGTGCATGGTTTATGGATGCATGGTGTGTGCATGTTGTGTAATTCGTATGCACGGTTTGCACTGCAAGGTTTTGCATGGCGATTGTGGTGGCCATATGGCACCAGTGCATGGTTGAGTGGGAGGTACCTTCCTTTCATTTCATACATCAGACAACAACCCCGTGATTCTCATTCCTCTGTTCCCGTTCCCTCCCTATCCTCTCTCCTTACCCTTTACTTCCTGACTCCTTGGCATCCCCTTCCACTCCCGTTCCACTCCCCTTCCCGTCCCATTTCCTTACAATTTACTCCCCATTCCCCTCCCGTTCCACTCCCCTTCCCGTCCCATTTCCTTACAATTTACTCCCCATTCCCCTCCCGTTCCACTCCCCTTCCCGTCCCATTTCCTTACAATTTACTCCCCATTCCCCTCCCGTTTCCCTCCCCTTCCCCTCCCCTCCCCTCGCATTTCTCTCCACTGCCCCCTCCACTGAGCTCATTCGCCTCCCACTGTAGCAAACAGCACTCTAACTGCCTCACTGAGCTCATTCGCCTCCCACTGTAGCAAACAGCACTCTAACTGCCTCACTGAGCTCATTCGCCTCCCACTGTAGCAAACAGCACTCTAACTGCCTCACTGAGCTCATTCGCCTCCCACTGTAGCAAACAGCACTCTAACTGCCTCACTGAGCTCATTCGCCTCCCACTGTAGCAAACAGCACTCTAACTGTCTCACTGAGCTCTAACCGCCCACCCCCCCCCCCCTGGCTCCCCCCCCCGCCCTCCCCCCGACCCCCCGGCTGCCCCCCTCTCCATCCCCCTCCTCCCGCTGCCTCCAATCCCTCCTGCTTCCCCTTTTCCGCCCCCCATCACTCCTCACCACTCCCCTGCTCTCCGCCCCTTCCCCCCCACGCCACTTTTTCACTTGTCCTCCCCTCCTCCCTCCCGCTCCTCTGCATCCCCGTTTCAACCAACCCCCCCTTCCCCACCCACATCCCCCTTCCTCTTACCCCCCCCCCTCTCCCTCCGTCCCTCAGTTTTGCCTCAGGTGCCTGGCACCTTGCTACTGCGGCCACTCGCCACTTGTTGTCGCCCTCCGTTGAAGCGCCTCACCCGCAGCTGACAGCTCGCTGCTGCCACTCAGCACACCTGCTCCGCCCGCCTGCTGCATCGGTCGTTACTGCCACTTGCTCGCACTCCAGGTACGGTTTCTCTGAAGTTCTCCCACCGTCTCGCCCTACAAAATGCGCCCTGCTGCTCTTGCCGCTCACCAACCTACTTTGCCGCCCACCAGCCGGCTCTCTTACTTTTGCCCTTTTGCTCCTCACAATTGCACCTTTGTTCATCGATGCATCGATGCTTCTCCCACCACCTTTCTCAGAAGCACATGCTGTGATGTGATGTGAACGGTAAAAGCTAGCAAAACAATGAGAGGAGCATAATTCATGGAGTATAAAAAATGACATCGAGTGGCATACAGAAAATCACGACAAGCATCTCACCGCAATTGTCTCACTGCCCTGCAACGATGCACGCAACTCATCACTGCACTACAAAGCATTGCTCGCATATCGCTGTGCGCCACCACTGCTCACCACTACGCACCAATCTGCTTCATACTTGGCTACCAAATTCGAAATTGGTTACAATCACTGCACAAGGCAGCGTTAAAGGCAAGAGAGAAAGGCTAGGCATGAGAAAAGAGCAGGCATGGGTGAAGAGCAGGAATGACTGAAGGCCATGGATGAGTGACTGGTACGGAAGTTATAAGCAATCGGATGTGTTTTAGAAATAAGGCATGGGATGAGGTGTGCTTGCGCCGCTGTCCCAACACCATCCTTTCCTACTTCAACTTGGGGTGCTACTTATCCCTCTCCAAGCATTCTGGCTCTGCCCTCTCCACGAGCCTCACCTCCCCCCACACAGGCCATGATGGCACGGCAACTGCCAGAAGCAGCGGCGGGGAGATAGGGGGGGACGGGGCAGGGGAGGGGAAGGTGGGGTCAAGGGGGTGAAATGTGACAGCAAAGATCATTGAAAAACGTTTGGTATCTCTCTGCTGCCACCATCAACCACCCTCCAAGGAGGGGGAGGGGATCGTTACGAGATAACGGGGAAATCTATAGATACACAGCACAGCACAAGAAGGGGAGTGGGGCGTGGAGGAGGGAATCGATTGATGGCATATCAGGCGGTTGTGGTTTGGGAAGGAGGGAGAGTTTCCTCTAGAGGGTGCGACTGAAGTGGTGCTGCTGCTTCGTTGGGATGGTCGTGGAGCAGTTGGGAGGGTGTTGGAGGGCAGAGGAGGATAACCTGAATGGTGAGGGACACTTAACGCATGCATGGGGTGATATAAGGAGGGGCATGACATGATGGGATGAAGGGCATGGTACAATGGGATCCATGGGGTGGTGAGGGGTTTCGGGTATAACAAAATGGATCTAAGGAGCAAGGGAGGGAGGGAGGAGGTAGAAATGGGAGATGACAGGGGGCGAGCAGAAGAGGATGTACAGGGAAACATAATGGACTTGGGGAGAAGAAGAATGAGGACGAGAGGAGAAGAAGGTATGTGGGGCGGCTGAAGCACCCGTAATGACTAGGAGGTGCGACAAAGTTGCTGTTGGCGCAAAAAAGTGGGAGGGAAGAGGTGGATCAAGGGAGAATTTGGGCGGAAGGAGTTTGTGAGGACTGGAGGGGTGACTGGACAGAAGACGAGGGAATGAATGCAGGAAAAGAAATTAGGAAAATGTTTCAATGAGAGACGAAAGAATGTGGCGGAGCTAGTGCATGTGACGCCTCCTCGTACTGCAGGAGGAGAGGGCGAGCACGTGAGGGCGAACACGTGAGGGCGTGACTGTACTGCCTTCCATGGGCCACCTGGCTGGGTGGTGCATTCTGTGGGGATGGATAACTGGGGGAACATCCAGGAGGCCAGTTTGGAGTTAACACACAATCAGCCTTTTCAGTCATCTTCAAATCATTTTGCATTCAAAAATGGTTTCGCGACCTTGTAGGTGCTTGCAAAACTAGGGTTTGATAACAGGATTGCACCTTGAGAAGTTTTACTTATCAGCTTCAACCAACTGGGTGACCTTTTCTGCAGGTGGAGCAACAAAGGCATATACTGAACCCTCATGGGCTACGCTTGCACTTCGTCATCCCTCATGTGGAGCGAGCGGGAAGCAAGCCCGCGCAACCAGCATGCAGTTAACGCCCACAATGTCATGGATTCTGCTGCCTCCCACTTACCCTTCAAGCCTTCCTCCTCGCCTTCCTCCACCCGCTCCTCACCGCGTGGCCTTGCTCACCGCGTGGCCTTGCTCACCGCCGTCCCTGCGGCACGTGGCTGTCTGTCCGGCTGCCAGGCTGTGCGCTCCAGCCATGGGTTGGTCCCCTCGCTGCTACTACAGGGCAGGAGCTTCTGGTGTGGGAAGAGGAGGGGAGGGAGCGCGCCGATTCGCTCGACGCGCTAGGTCTTACTCTGATACTTTAACCTCCGCCATGAAGCGAGCTAACTGGCTGGCGACTCAGTTGATTAGAAAAGAAAACGTAAAAGCGAGTTGAAATAGTAGCGCAACGGGACAGCAGACTGTGAACTGAAGAAACTATTTTGACCCTAAATGCAAAGTAAGAGTTGCAAATCGCAACTCTGGTTTCCTCTCGCGAATCGAATTGAGCGAAGTGCAGCGAATTTTAACTTCGCCTACACAATTACTTCCTGTGTAACGAAAGAGATCCCCCCCCTTCGCTACACAACCTAACTCGACCTCCTATTTTTAGACCAGGCACTAATTTAGGGAAGCTATGGGAGAACGAGACGAGAACCCTACTTCGGCCTACTAGCTTCTCGTTCTTAACACATTGTTACTAAACAGTTACAACTTCACAAGTTCTCATTCCAACCAGAAGAATCATCGAGGGACCCTGTATCGAAGACCGAATTCTCAAGTTGGACAATGTTGAATTAGCTGGACCAAGTTCGCTGGACCGGATGAACCAGTCCTAGTTCGAAGCATTCCCGAGCACAAACATCTGATGTACAGCCCCGAGCTGACGTGGTGCACTCTAATTCGGTAATTCACAATCTGCAAATTGCCTAACAAAAACTTCGCATTTTCCCAATTCCGAATCGCGTAGCAGCCGCGCCTCGATTTCACACTCGACCATTGAGCTTTGCACTAGAATTCAAGTTTCAGTCTCCCCAATTTTCCAACACAAATACCTCCCAACAGACGTAACGAATCGTCGAACTAGTTCATTCCACACTCACTACTAGTGCAGCCATCTTCAGCTTCTCCCTCCAGCGTCATGGCTACTCTCTCCTCCGCCACCGCAGCATCCGCTGCTTCCGCATTTGTCGGCTCCAGCGCGGAGCTCGCGTCGAAGGTCCGCAACGTGGAGTGTCGCGTGACGATGCGCAAGGCCGCACCCTCTGACAACCTTAGCCAGTGGTACGGCCCGGATCGCAGCCTCTTCCTGGGCCCGTTCAGCGCGCCGCCCGCGTACCTGAAAGGCGAGTTCCCCGGTGACTACGGGTGGGACACGGCGGGGCTGTCGTCGGACCCCGAGACGTTCGCCAAGAATCGCGAGCTGGAGGTGATTCACTCGCGCTGGGCCATGCTCGGCGCGCTTGGCATCGTCTTCCCCGAGCTGCTGGCGCGCAACGGCGTGCCGCTGCAAGAGGCGGTGTGGTTCAAGGCGGGCGCGCAGATCTTCTCCGAGGGCGGGCTCGACTATCTGGGCAACCCCGCGCTCATCCACGCGCAGAGCATCCTCGCCACGCTCGCCGTCCAGGTGCGTTCGTTCACGTCTGACCCACTCTCCTTGTGCTCGCCGTGCGGGTCGCGCTGCAAAGGCTTCCAAAATCCATTTTTCTCTGTTTATTATTTCTTTCGCTCGCGTCCATGTGAAGAAAAGTTCGTCCAATTTCTCACACAGATCCCACGCCATGTTTCGCCGCCAATTACTGCGTCGATTTCAGTTTCGTTAGCTCGTTCGACGGGATCTCACTCTTGTACCGTGGTAACCCGTATCCGCGTGCCACAGGTGGTACTGTAGGGCGCGGTGGAGAGCTACCGCGTGGGCGGTTTGGAGGGGTTCCAGGAGGTGGAGGATCCGATCTACCCGGGCGGCGCGTTCGACCCGCTGGGGCTGGCGGACGATCCCGACGCGGCGGCGGAGCTGAAGGTGAAGGAGCTCAAGAACGGGCGCCTCGCGCAGGTGTCCGCGCTGGGCTTCTTCGTGCAGGCGATCGTGACGGGCAAGGGGCCCCTCGAGAACCTCGCGGACCACCTCGCTGACCCCACTGCCAACAACGCGTGGGCGTACGCGCAGAACTTTGTCCCAGGCGCGTAGAGGAGTGGAGAGAGGTTTGATGAGCTTGGAGGAGTTTAGAGGGCGTTGGGAGGGAGTTTGAGGAGATTCGTGGTTGCCAGGATCAGGAATTTGTGAACTTGCACATATCTGTACAGCCAGGATTTGTGTAATTACCATATGGCCCCGGATATAGGCGCCGGCCTATTACAGGCGCCGGCGCTTCTATCTCGAGCATGGCGCTTATGGCCATTCCTCTTTTGTACCCTTCCTTATTATAAGCGCCACCCCTTCTGTACCCTTCCTTATTATAAGCGCCACCCCTTTTGTACCCTTCCTTATTATAAGCGCCACCCTCAATATTAACACTTTTTTACCACCACAACAAAAGCAAACAACTATAACATCGTTCGCTTCAACGAATACTACAAGTTGGTACACAATTTTAGACTTAATCTCCTATTCTACCTAGGTGCTAGTACCGGAACTACTCCTCGTCAGACTCGGGCTCCTGGCAGTTGTTGCCAAAGAAGCCGTCGGCGATGATGCCGTCGTCTACATCCACTTCCGCCGTCAGCTGGCTCCGCCTGTGCGCCATGGCGAGATGGTCCTCACTGCCGTCAAGCGCGTTGCTAATGCCGGAGGTGAGGAAGGCGCGCTTGACGAGGTCGGAGGGTACTGCTTTCCAGGCTCGTGAAATCCATCGAAGGACCACTTCTGGGGGGGGCTTCTTCAGATTCCCTGCACCGCAACAGAGACACCCGGGAAATCCCTGTCAGCATTTAAAGGT